CTGATCACTGGGGGAGGGGAGACTGAGGAAATGCATCTTCCTGCCTGCAGCAGGCTGATCACTGGGGGAGGGGAGACGGAGGAAATGCTTCTGCCTGCAGCAGACTAATCACTGGGGGAGGGGAGACGGAGGAAATGCTTCTGCCTGCAGCAGGCTGATCACTGGGGGAGGGGAGACGGAGGAAATGCATCTTCCTGCCTGCAGCAGGCTGATTACTGGGGGAGGGGAGACGGAGGAAATGCTTCTGCCTGCAGCAGGCTTATCACTGGGGGAGGGGAGACCTGAGGAAATGCATCTTCCTGCCTGCAGCAGACTGATCACTGGGGGAGGGGAGACGGAGGAAATGCTTCTGCCTGCAGCAGGCTTATCACTGGGGGAGGGGAGACCTGAGGAAATGCATCTTCCTGCCTGCAGCAGACTGACCACTGGTGGAGGGGAGACGGAGGAAGTGCTTCCTCCTGCCTGCAGCAGACTGATCACTGGGGGGAGGGGAGACTGAGGAAATGCATCCGCGTACAGTAATGAGTTGCTCCAGTTCCTCTCTTACAGATTTGGTCTCTTTTTTGTTTTTGGTCAGGTGACCGCTCAGGACGTGCGGAAGGACAGCCCGTTGCTGTTCAAGTTCCGCGGCAAGTTCTACCCGGAAGACGTCTCCGAGGAGCTGATCCAGGACATCACCCAGAGGCTCTTCTTCCTGCAGGTGAAGGAAGGCATCCTGAACGACGACATCTACTGCCCTCCGGAGACCGCCGTCCTCCTGGCCTCCTACGCCGTGCAGGCAAAGTACGGCGATTATAACAAGGACGCGCAGAAGCAGGGCTACCTGTCGCAGGACAAGCTCCTCCCTCAGAGGTACGGGGCGCAGGAGAGTCCAATGTTGTATCTGCGTTAGAACATATCGGGGTGCCGATGCAGCACAGAGCGTTGTCGCCCTGTAACAGGAAGGACCTGAGCAAAGACCTCCATGGCGGGATCACCAGGGACTATATCATGAAAGCCATGTGACCCGTGGGGGGTGGGGGGGTGGTTGAGGGCCCCGGGTGCACTCTGTCATGGTGGAAAGGAGATGTTTTCTATCCGGGTGACCGGACTTTTTGGCAATTTTTCGGACGTCACTAAAAAAATGAACCTTTTTGCTTATTTGTAGAGTTCTGGAGCAGCACAAGCTCAGCAAGGACCAATGGGAGGACAGAATCCACATCTGGCATGAGGAGCACAGGGGCATGTTAAGGTAAAGATACGGCATGATGTGGGCATGTAACATGAGCGGTTTGGTATCTGGATGACCCCCCCTAATATTGAGTAGGTCCCCCTTCTCCTGACCCATCCAGGCATGGACTCCACTAGACCTCTGAAGGTATGCTGTGCGATCTGGATGAACCCCTAATATTGAGTATGTCCCGTTCTCCTGACCCGGCCAGGCATGGACTCCACTAGACCTCTGAAGGTATGCTGTGGTATCTAGATGACCCCCCTAATATTGAGTAGGTCCCCCTTCTCCTGACCCGGCCAGGCATGGACTCCACTAGACCTCTGAAGGTATGCTGTGGTATCTAGATGACCCCCCCTAATATTGAGTATGTCCCGTTCTCCTGACCCGGCCAGGCATGGACTCCACTAGACCTCTGAAGGTATGCTGTGGTATCTAGATGCCCCCCCCCCATATTGAGTAGGTCCCCCTTCTCCTGACCCGTCCAGGCATGGACTCCACTAGACCTCTGAAGGTATGCTGTGGTATCTAGATGCCCCCCCCCCATATTGAGTAGGTCCCCCTTCTCCTGACCCGTCCAGGCATGGACTCCACTAGACCTCTGAAGGTATGCTGTGGTATCTAGATGCCCCCCCCCCATATTGAGTAGGTCCCCCTTCTCCTGACCCGTCCAGGCATGGACTCCACTAGACCTCTGAAGGTATGCTGTGGTATCTAGATGCCCCCCCCCCATATTGAGTAGGTCCCCCTTCTCCTGACCCGTCCAGGCATGGACTCCACTAGACCTCTGAAGGTATGCTGTGGTATCTAGATGCCCCCCCCCCATATTGAGTAGGTCCCCCTTCTCCTGACCCGTCCAGGCATGGACTCCACTAGACCTCTGAAGGTATGCTGTGGTATCTGGATGACCCCCCCCTAATATTGAGTAGGTCCCTCTTTTCCTGAACCGGCTTTTGTGTGACGCGTTGTACGGTTCGGTATCTGTGAATAATGCTGTACTGTTGTGCCGCGCAGGGAGGACGCAATTCTAGAATACCTGAAGATCGCCCAGGACCTGGAGATGTACGGAGTCAACTACTTCAGCATCAAGAACAAGAAGGGCTCGGAACTTTGGCTCGGAGTGGACGCCTTGGGGCTGAATATTTATGAGCAGAATGACAGGTAACCATTGCACAAGCGCAGAGACGGCTGCCAATTGTCCCTTCAGGTTCCGTGTTTGTTAGTTACGAAGCACAAAAATAAAGGTTATTACAAGATTGTGTCCCCCGGGGCTCCAGGAAAGTTTAATTCCACGGGAAGGAGCCCTGATCGGGCGTGAGCGCGTTTCTTTACAACTATCCACATTCTAAGGATAAGGAGCGCGCCTTTAAATATCTCCCCCAGAACCTCGGGTACCCCTGAAGTCCGGACACGTTCTGCCACTTTCCAGGAGGTGCCTTTTGGCTAGGAAGGTTACTTTAGATTTCAGGGTGGGCTGTTTTTATAAAGAGGACCTGTACTGTGGAAGCTGTGACCACAAGAGGCGAGCAGGGGACGAAGGCTTAGCCTTGCCGCACCTTGTTCCTTATTGTTTCTGCTTGGAGGCGGCCATCTTGGCAGAGAAGCAGAGCTTTCCTTCATGTCAGAGCTGTCCCCCCCCCCCTTCAGTGACTGGGGGAGTTATAATTAGGGGTGAGATCAGATTTGGACCGGGTTCAGTCTGCATCTGACCTCCTCTGAATCCCAAAGCAGCATAGGACCACCTGAAAGCTTCCTTCGGGGCTCGGTGGAGCTCCTTCGGGGCTCGCTCCTTCTGGGCTCGGAGGAGCTCCTTTTGGGGGTTCGGGAGGAGCTCATCCCTGGTATCGATCAAAAAGCAGTAGCAGAGGAGGAGGAAGCACAGATCCACATGATGGATGAAGCAGGGGGATCCTTGCACTGCAGGTCCTCAGGTACAACATCCTCTCCAGCAAAGAGAACACTCCAAATCTGGTGAGCCCATCAGTCGGAGGCAACAGTGCCTTAGATCTCACACTGCAGATATACAGCCATGAGGCTACAAAACAGGAGAGTCCAGGCACAAGAAATGCGTTGCTGTTTTTTTGGGGGGGGAGGAATTCATAGCAAAAGGTTAAATTTATAGGCTACTGATTGAGTACAATTAACATTTGTAGAGGTTCCCTGTC